AGCTAAGTAATTATAATGCGTGCAGTTGATGTTTGAAATGTATTCGTAAGTTACAATGGTTTATTTAACAACAAAGGTTTTTTGATAATAAGAAGTGACTTATGCCATAGCATCCAAGTATGGAAGTTTATTTAATAACAAAGTTTCTTTATAATATGAAGTGACTTGTGCAATAATACGCATGTATGGAATTTTTGATTAATGAAGTAAAAAAATCCGCTCACAGTTTCCAAAATCGTGTCATAATCATTAACATTTAAATCTTGTCTTAGATCAGTGATCATCTATTCCTAAGTTAAAACTTGTGAAAGATTATAAGATTTAGCAGTAGTCTTGGAATTTGACTAATCTCAATGTTATCATGTATTCTACACGAGGTTCTTATTTATGTATTTTTATTTCTATAACAATTGTTTTTAGTCAGTGATGTATACTTTGTTATATAACTAGAATGTTCTACATAGATGTCATTGATGTTTTATAATACTGTTCGTTGAAGGAGATCCTGACTCACTCTTCATCTTCGTTCGTTATTTAAATGTGTTTATGTGACAAAACTTACAGGGATAAAAGATTGATGTTACAATAAGGTATGAATTATGATCACCATTTTTCAACTGATATGTATGTGGTCGCGTTGTTTATATTAAATCTCTCATCCGTTTGTTGAGTATGTGACATGCAAAGAACTAAAGCAAGCATAATTTTGTTCACAAGGTCGTCTTACTTCTAAAACGAAGGTAATTTCAGAAAAATTAAGCGATATTTTAGAACAACATTACCGACATAACAAATTAGCTAAAGCGGCATCTCGATAAAGTATGACTAAATATGCATGAGAAATCATGTCTAAATTCCTATACCAACTTTCTAACTATTGACAATAGCTGCATGGCAAAGGAAAGCAAAACGCTTTCAAAGGCATAGGAAAGGTGAAATAGTATACTTGTCTACGGAAAAAATGGGAATCTCTGAAAATTTATGTAGAAAGGATAGCTTGTCCAATCATGCATCACCTCCCTTTTTTTACCGGTGCCACATTTTACTAATCGCTGTGTGTCTAACAAAATGTTGTTATTGTATTGAGCAAATTATTCATTTTAAAAGTAAGAACATTTGTAAAATAAGCAAATGTACATATTTCATCATCATTCATTTTGAACGTAATTTATTCTTAGATGAACTTCGATTTAGCATGTACACTGAGAAACTGAGATCAAGATACTTGTTTTGTTTTCCAACGTGTCTAACTGTTTTAGTTACTTGAATTAAATCGTGTAACAACACAAAGTCGAGAAATTTCACTGACTGTCAGGTCAGGCCCGTGAGGTGATGGGCAGGGCATTTTGCCTTGGGCCAGTGATATAATAGGTGCCAGCGCCTCCCCATTTGAACACGTAAAAATTGCAAAATTAAAGTTTATAGAAAAAGTAATGAATGACTTGTGTCTTATTTGTACTTTTCTTATGTTATGTCATCATGCAGAAGACATTCATCAATTGTTAAGTTTTTAGAAATTCTCGTAGCATCTTCAAACGGAATCACGCTTTAAGTGTTATCAATATGAGAGGAATGTGGCTAGGATGTAAAACTTGGGAGAAACAACATTTTGGGGGAGCATGTAGACGTCAAGTTATACTGTATTATAACAATAATATAATTTATCACTAGTTAGTTTTTGTGGGTAGCCGCTGTGCATGCGCGGCTAACCACTATGCCATACTTAAAAAGTGCCTGAGTGATTCAGTGAGGCAGGCAGTGTTTGTTCGTCGTGATATCCTCGGCTGTGTCATCGGTGATAGTCGCATATGCGAACGATCACGAATAGAATTTTTTTAAGTGAAGTCAATACTTATGTTATTTCCATAAATTCGTAAAAGAACTATTGCTAATGCGCATTTGATATAAACGATAAGTTTTTTCAAAATAGACATGTTTCGATACCTCATGACGCCATCTTCAGTATAAGTGAATTACATATATGTTATTCAGTTATTCTTCTTATTCTTATTCTTATTCTTAAGAATAAGTAAAGAATAACTGAAGAATAAGTTATTCTTATTCTTCAGTTATTCTTCAGTATGAGAGAATAACATATATGTTATTCTTCAATTATTCTTCAGTATGAGAGAATAACATATATGTTATTCTTCAATTATTCTTCAGTATGAGTGAATAACATATATGTTGTTCTTCAATTACCTATGCTTTAGAGCGTATAATCTTGCAGCTGAAAATATCATTCATTTATACACTTTACTGGTGATTACAGACGTCAAATTTATCCTATGAGGGTGTACTGCAGATTAGCGGACACTTTAAACGCTGACCCAAACTCTACTCTATAATCACATCAAAAACGAGCCTATGGTTACAAGCGCTTCCGGTGTCCGCTAAACTGCAGTTTAGAAAAATTTTAAATTGGAACAGAATCATCGGCAATACAGTCCTATCAAAATTTTAATAAGCAAATATTCATACTACACAGCAAACCAATTTGATATATCCTGTTAAAAGAATGACGTATCTCTTCACCACACGATTGTTAGAGAAATAAGATATATTATTTATCAACTAGGATTTACTATCGCAAGGTATTTGCTGCCTCTCGCGCCGAGTAGGCGAAAATATTATTATTTTAATTGTTTTTTCATTGTATCAAATCTACTAAGATCAATTACTGTGTCATGTCACTAGGCAGTGAACACAATTTTTATTTAGAGAAAGAAATGAAGCACACAAGTCTTTATAAATGACTTGTAGTACTATTTTTAATTTATCCTTTTAACTTTTGTGAGCATTTTGTAAATTTTAAATTATACCTTTTTGCACAATCTTATTCTTCATTTCTAGAATAAAAATGGCTTCTGCCACCTAAAAATTAAAGGTTGAGGAAAATGGATCTCGTTTAAGTAAACTTTTAATCAAAAGGAACCCAAGCCTTAAAAACAACATTGCAATCTTTATTCAAGTCATCAAGTTTAGCTAGTAAACTTAAAGATCCCTCTACAAAGAAGACACTAACATCTTTGAAATTCAAAGTCATCAAAAATGAGCAATGGGATCTTCTTTACCCGTCAATTGGTGACCCTGACATTGAAAACTTTGACATCACATTATTAACTGTCTTATTGCGAAATATATGTGGTCTAAAAGCGCCAACTAAAGGATGGGATAATCTTCCTTCCTCTAAAGATACTTCACACTCAGCAAACATTGCAAGAATAAAGTTTTATCGAAACAAAGTGTATGGTCACATAACTAAAACTAGTGTAGATGACAGTGAGTTTGAGTACTTGTGGGAGGAAATTTCAAAAGCATTGGTTGGTCTGGGTATTCAACAAACTGAAATAGATGAATTAAAGGAAGCTCCCCTCAGTACTGATGAAGCAAATTATATTGAAATGTTAAAAGAATGGTGTAAAAAAGAAGAGCAGTTAATCGATGTCACTGAAAAAATCAAAGAAAATTTAAATGTACTAGAAAGAAATGCTGTAGAGATGAAACAAGAGATGGCAACAAAAGTTACAAACTTAAATGAGGATGTAAAGAAAACAAATGCTGATGTAGCTGAAATTACACAAGTGATGGCTACAAAAGCTGATGTAACTGAAATTACACAAGTGATGGCAACAAAAGCTGATGTAGATAAAATTACACAAGTGATGGCAACAAAAGCTGATGTAGCAGGAGTAAAAGACATGTTGCAAGTCAAAACATGTTCAGATCTCAAGAAACTTGAAAGTGCAATTTCAAAGGTCTTATAAAAGATCTTAACAAGACATACCTTAAAGGCACTAGACAATTCTTATTTGAATAACTCGACACTTGGTTTAACGAGAGAAGTGAAGATGCTCCTAATGTCATGATTTTAATTGTGGTCCCGGTGTTGGTAAAAGTGTGTTTGCTGCTGATTTGTGTCGACAATGTTCTGAAAAGAAGAAACTTGCTGCTTCTCATTTCTGCAGATATAATAGATCAGATTATAGAAATCCTCGAGTATTGATAGAATCATTGGCTAGTAGCATGTGTGATACAATATCAAATTTTAAAAGTACACTGAATGAAGAATTACAAAGAAACAATTCCAAAGAATCGATCACCGATGAATTCCTTGTTTTATTAAATAATCCATTGCATTCATTGGAAGATCTTAAACCAATGCTTTTGGTTATTGATGCCTTAGATGAAAGCCAAATTGATGGCAAAAGTGAATTGTTGGAATTGATTGCAGAAGAGTTTGACCGACTTCCTAAATGGATTAAAATCTTTATCACCAGTCGTCCAGAACTTCCTGTTCAAAAGGAGTTGAAAGACATGAATCCTGTGGAAATTACAACTAATCCTCGTGATGAAAACAACGAAAAAGACCTGCACAAGTATTTGAGACATGAGTTGAGTCATCTGGCGAAAAAAGATACTGATGGTGCTTTCAAGTTATTAGTTGAAAAATGCGAGGGTTCGTTTCTGTACGCTTACCACGCACAAGAGAGTTTAAAAAAAGAAAAAATTGAGCTAACTGTCGAGATTATTAAAAAATTGGTACCTACTGGGTTGAGTAAATTTTACACAAAACAATTCAAGAGATTAAATAAATCATTGAAAGGAATAATTTTATCAACACGCAAAACCGATATTTTCGACAAAAACTTTACGGAATGTCTTGAAGTGTTGGTGGCTTATCAAAGTATTTTGCCTTTGTCTTTTCTTTTTCAATGTTTAGGTTTTTCTTATGAAATGAAGTTTGAAGATCGTAGTAAAATAAATGAAGTGCTATCTCAAATTTTTCCAATTTACGATGATTATTTGACCGTGTATCACAAGTCTCTTATTGATTGGTTGAAATCAGATGGTTACGAAAAGCATAAGTTTACAGTTGATCCAAAAATGGTCATAAGTTCTTATGGCATGCTTGTGAGAAAGTGTTTCAACAAATTGAGTCGATGAACATTTTTGATCAAGATCAGATGAACACTGCTATGATTAGATATGTTTTGCAGAATTGAATCTATCATATGATAAATGTGGGAAAATGTAAAATAAGCTGGGCAGTAGATGTCAAAGTGGTTTGTGCGAGGTTAAAAGATGTTGAAGGCAAAAACATGTTTTTTAACATTAGCTTTGAATTGTTTAAAATTATTAAGGAACTACGAAGTTTCTTGGAAAAAGATGTAATTGAGGAACTAGTATTTCATTTGTTTGTGATGAGAATAGAGACATTTATGACTGATAGAAGCCTAATTTATTTACAAACTATTGCAAACAGAATTCATGGCAGTGACGAAAAAAGATTATTGGCAAGGGATTTATTGAAACAAGGAAAGTTTGTTTGGTTTGAGAACTTAGACTCAACATATTTAACAAACCATCATCATTTGACTGTCCCCTTGCGTGCTAACGTTTCATCTCTTTGTTTGTCGTCCAATGAAGAACTTCTTGCTGTAGGATATGAAAATGGTCAAATATCTATTTTTAAACTTCCAGAATTTTCAAAAAGATGCACTATAGACACTGTATTAGATGATTCAAGGATGGATAAGTGGGATGATGAAAAGACATATACATTTATGTCCCTGATGTACAAATATGACTATCCAACATTAAAGAAATTTGGTTTTGTACGTGGTAACATCTTTTGTTGCTCCTTTTCACCTACCGGAAGTAGACTGGTGACTAGTAATGGATCTACTGAAGTAAAGTTGTGGGACGTTAACAATGGACGTTTGTTATCTTGTTTACAGTCAGATAATGTCGTTAATCGTTGCTCTTTCTTAGATTCAGGTTTGTTTATTACAGCAGAATATGTACAACATCACAATGAACATCCTAAAGAAGTGATCACTGTATGGAATTCATTAACTTTACAAAGAATCGATCGACGCTGCGTTTTCGATTACCAAAAACTACAATGCACCGATAAATATTCAGAGTTCTATGTTGCAGAATTCCTGAAGACTGCGTATGTTTTTCTATTCCCAAAGGCAATCGATATTTTTCAGATAGAAAGGAATATCCACTACGTTTACATTCAAAGATAACACACCATTATCGTGATTGTATTTTTTATCATACAAGCCAGAATGAAAAGCTTTCTGAAATCACTCAGTTGACAAAATACAACGATCAAGGAGAAATCGAGTTTTGTTTACCATGTGTTAAGTGTCCATGTGCTGATAGGATTCTTCAAAATGTCCATCCCATCTGGTTTAAGGAATTTTACGTTGTGCCGTATTTTTCCAAGCTTAACATTTTCAAAACTGATCATCTTTGTAGACCTTCATTAATCTTTGAGAAATATAAAATTAAATGTTGTTGTTTTTCACCGGATGGATCTTTTTTTGCTGCTTTCGCTGTTGGTTACCACGTCAACATTCATATTTGGAGCATTGAACGTTGCACTATTATTCAAACTGTAGCAATGCAACTGAAGAATGCATTGGGATGTTGGTGGTCAGATGGTTTACTGTGGATATGGGATGGTTCTGATCATCTTATGAAGATATCAACTTCGTCTAAAAATTTTGTAGATTCTACTCAAGCAAAGCATGTTAACATTGGATTTAAACCTAAAAAAATCTTAACATTTGGTGATGTCTTAGTTTGTATTGACGAACTAGATTTTGTTCAAGTTGTTAGAATTACCAAGGGTGAGATACAATACAACGAAAGACTTCCTGTCGATAGTTCAGAATTTAAAGCAGCAGCTGTATCACCTGATAATTCTGTTATTTTAACTGTAAACAAAACAGAATACACATTATGGAAATGGGGAAATAACAACAATGAACTTTACTTGAAACCTTGGCGTACTGCAGAAATACCTATAACAGCTGTCATTGAAAAATTTGTTCAAGAACAGATAACTGTAAATGATCTAGAGTTCAACTGCTGTATAAGTGATAGTAAACAAGCAGTCATAGAATTTTGCAAACCCATGAAAAGAGTGGTCATTTATGTAATTAATCTTCACAAGAATGGTGATGAGAATGCAATTTTTCATGATGTCAGTGAATATTTGTTGTTCTCCAAACTAATCGTACACAAATCTTATTGCATTGGAAAGTCTGGGTCATTGGTTGCTGCAGATTTGAAGAGTGGTAAAGTTTGCGCTGAATTTAACGAAAAATATTCATTGTCTATTATAACTATGCATTCCAACACAGGAACTTTAGCTTTAGTTGACAATTTTGATTGCAGAATTCAAATTTTAAAACTTAATGTTCCTGAATAAATACATCAACTCAAACTTTGATAGTAAATTCAAAAACCTGTTGAGAAAATTGCACATAGATGTTGATGGTCGTAAGGATGGTTGCTTGTTTCCACCTACTATAGTTTTCTACAGAAGAAGTATACTTATTCCACCAGGCAATCCTTAAGAAATTATTTATATTTACCAAAAATAAATTTGGACCAATTTTGCAAAAGATGTTTTAAACTTATCGGCACAATTTCTTGGAAAGTCTTACCTCCTGCTATTAAAGAATGTAAAATATTATCTATGTTTTGCAATAATCTGAACGATGTATAATTGCTTTTATAACACAAATGACTTGTATTTAAAAGATCGCTTCTATACTAATTGATCATGAATATTTGTTTATTCCTTTCTTAGATTCTACTTGTAATCTTCATAAATGAATTGTCATTTAAACAGGGCATCCTCTAGATTTGACTACTACTGTAAGATGCTCTGTCAAACTTATTATTATGTATTGTATCTCTGAACAAATTTGATGTTGATGATTTACTTTTAATAAAATGTATGGTTAGATAATTTGGTTATTTTATTCAACAAATAGATAACATTTAACAGTTGCCAGTAAGTTATAGATACACGGGTATGACGTCATTATGATAAAAACTTAGTGGCCACGAGCCGCCGGGCAAATCAATGTTTGAAAACCGGGTTTTCTTTTCTATTTGCTCAAATGCGTCCTATGCTTCAACTAGGCATTCTTAATTTCTATTCTGTGACCTCAATTCCGTGTGTCTGTCCTGTTATAGATCATAGCTCTCGAGTTTTATGGTCATTAATTGCAAAATGCGAGAGATCGTTTTTGTTTCTTTATTATGTACATATGAACTTAAAGAAAGAAAATGTTCTATACTGTCAACAATTCCCGTGTAAAAAACATCATCATGACGTCATGTCAGTATTTGTGATGAAAATTAATAAAACTTTTACGTTTTTGACACAAGTTCATTTGAATTGAGGAATTAAATTTTTTTGGATAATATTTTCTTGATTAAAATATTGAAGATTATTTATTCTCACTTTCTGTCTTCAATGGTTAAAATAAAATTTATCATCATGATGTTGGGGTTGATACAACTTTAAATGTACAGTTTAAATTTGTGACAATTATAAACATAACAATAAACATTTTACTTAGTATAAATATTAAAGCTCAGCAAAGTGCTTTTAAAAGAGCCTTTCAATACAAAAATGACGAATAAAAAGAAATATTTATTTAGTAGCGTAACGTTTCTTCTTGGTTCTCAAGGCATCATTAGACAGTATTGAATTACAAGTATAAAGGTATTTATATATATAATAGCTATTTACATAATATTAAATTATATGGTGGGATGAAAAAGGTGAAAGTAAAAGTGAGATAAGATGGTATGAAATGGGATAAGTGAAAATCACGAAAGAAACAAAAACACACAATCACAAAATATACAGACATGGAGTTTTCTTGTGAATACCACTTATCCTTGGGCTTTATTATTTACAATAAGAATTTGCTTTCCGCCTGGTATATCCCTGGTCACTATTCTGAAGAAACATTTTACTAATGATTTTAAAGATCCTTGTGCTCTAAACACTCCACAGATTTTTCTAGTTCTAAGTTTGGGGCATCTGATAAAACAAACAGGTACGTATAGCGTACATTTTGTTGTCTTTTACTGATTAGTAAACAACTTAAGTAGACATTTGAGTTTTTCAAAATAAACATAATTCCACATCACGTGATGTCATCTTCAGTATTAGTGACGATATATATGGTAGTAATGTGATGCAGTAGTAATTTATTTAATACAGGTAAATTATATACAGTAAAATATTGACATGAATTAATGGTGATTGTGTTTACAAGGGCTTCTTTAATTCAAAATTTTAAAATCTTAAGTTTTTAAGTTTTTCTTACTTTACAAAAGTGAGATAAAAATATCTGTGCAGGATAACTACGGACAAAGTAAGAAATTTAGAGGGAGGAGGTTAATTATCCCCTTCCTCTCTTCTCCCTAGAGCCATCATTGTATATTGAATAATCATGTTACATTGAGGTTTAACTTGGCAAAATTTGAGGCTAAGGCTGTGTATACACTATATACAGGATTTGCTCATCATGACATCTTCATTTGTTTTAAAGTTGTAACAGTTTGGAGTAAATGCTTATTAAGTTAGTAGATTTAGTCAATTTCATTTTGTTTTTGACATTGAACGATACCAATGATTTTAATACATAGAAAATTTAACCTGTAATGATAGCATTTCGGTATAGTGTAAACGGGGCCTTATTATAAAAGTAGAACTTTACACGTCCGAAGAAAAAGAAAATAATGTAAAATTCCTCATTATCATTTGTTTTAAATGCATTCAGCACATTCAAAGTTCGATGTTTTAAACGGACGTAAAAGTTTTTGTACAAAGTATTTCTTTTGTTCAAAGACATTAAAGGATTAATTATTGTATCTTTAGGTAACATGAGGTAACATGAAACTGAAGAGACAATCGAAATGAGAATTGTTTATCATTATTTAGAATATGGCCAAAGCCATTCGTTCAATCAGCATCCTGTAGTTTGATGTTCTATATCTCATAGTGCCTACAAATCATAAATTGGTATGAGCTTCTTTAAGGCTCTAAGAAAATGCACAGATGGAGTGAAAACAATGGAATAGAGCAGCTCATTAGTATTTTCTATTTAGCGAATACTAATTTGGATATTGTTTTTTATTGTTCATTTCCTTATTCGTATTCTCTAAATAGAAAATACTAATGACTGTAGTAACCCTACAGTGCATATCCGAGTATCTAACAAACAGATAAAATCTAAGACGCTTATAATATATTATTGTGAATTAAACAGATTCATATTGCACACAAATTTGGAGAGAAAATAATTCTTACAAACAAACCAGAAAAATTTAATATTGCACTCAAAGTTAATAATGAACACATGTACTCTATCACTTAAAATGGAACGACTTACGTGTTTCCCCATGTTCCAAAACCAAAAAAGTCTTTGTCTCTTGTGTATTTGCAGTGCTACCACATTTTTGTTTCTCCTCGTCTACCTTCGCTTTCTTTGGACTTGAAACGTTGATTACAGAATGTGGTTGAAGTGCATTTGCAATCTGGCATTCTAACAAGTCCAACTCACTAAGTTCACTCATGTCTTTAAGTCCACAGATTAAAATATACGACGTTAAAACTACTGCGTAAGGATTTTATATCTTTTAATTTTTAAAATTTAATTACTTTTCTTACACTGAAACAATATTTACTGACTGATAATCACCTAATTGAAAACAACGCGTCTTACGTCCCGTCCACACATATCCGGACTCGTCCGTATCCGCAAATATTTTGTTGCGGTTACGCTTATCGTACA